CCTCTCTGGGGAGCGCATTCCATAGATTGGGCGCCACCGCAGAGAAAGCCCTCCTCCGAGTACCTACCCTCCTAATTTCTTTCATGGAGGGTTCCCGGAGAAGGGCCTCTCCCGCAGATCTCAAGGGGCGGTCGGGCATATATGGATGTAAGCGCTCCTTCAGGTAACCAGGACCCAAGCCGTTTAGGGCTTTATAGGTCATAACCAACACCTTGAATTGGGCCCGGACTTCAATGGGAAGCCAGTGAAGCTGACGGAGGACTGGAGTCATGTGAACATAACGCCCTGTCCCCGTCAGCAACCTGGCAGCTCTATTTTGAACCAATTGAAGTATCCGGACCGTCTTCAAGGGAAGCTCCACGTAAAGCGCATTACAGAAGTCAAGGCAGGAAGTCGCCAGCACGTGTGTCACCGTCGCCAGGCAGTCGTACTCCAGGTAGGAGCGCAGCTGATGAATCAGCCGAAGCTGAAGGAAAGTGCTCCTCACTCCCGCTGTCACCTGAGCTTCCAATGAAAGCTCCGGGTCGAGGAGTACTCCTAAGCTGCGGACCTTGTCCCTAAGAGGGAGTGCAACCCCATTCAGGACCAGGTCAAATCCACCCTCTCCGAAGCCCGATCTGCCAACCAACAGGATCTCCGTCTTGTCTGGATTGAACTTCAGTTAGACTTACCTGTCTCTCCAACTGGCCATTCTACACGAGCAGTAGTGACCTCGTCTGCTTTTGCCGCAGGGGTTCCGTTGCAAGACATCTGCAGAGCTGCAATCTGGGCTGGTCCATGTACTTTCGCCAAGCATTATCGGCTTGATGTACGTGCCAGACGGGATTGCTCTTTTGGTAGAGCTGTTCTCTCATCCGTTCTTCGATGATGACATCTCCCTCCACTGTCTCGTAAGCTTGCGAATTACCCATATGTGTGATGCACAGAGGCCACGACGAAGAAAAGCAGGTTGCTTACCTGTAACTGATGTTCTTCGAGTGGCCATCTGTGCATTTACACAACCCACCTGCCGGCCCCACTCGGTGTCGGTGAGTGGATATCGTGTTTTTTCTCGGTACCATAGTATAATTTGCATCAGTACCATTTGGATTATGTCGCTGGGTGGTTATTTTTTTTTTCGGTAACGAAATATTAATGGCATCGGTACCGGGAGGTTATATCGCTGACTAGAGATTGTTCTCGGTACCGTACTATAATTCACATCGGTACCGTGGGAATATAATGGTGTCTTATCATTACTTTATTTTTAACCTCTAGAGGGCGAACGTGCGGTCTTCAAGACTGAGCAAAATGGCGGACACTCCACTCTATTTATACCACAAAGGGGGAGGGGAGCAGAGTTTTCCCGCCAAAAACCGTTAGCTTTCTAATTTTCCGGCCTAGGCACTGCGCAGGTGCAGCACCCATATGTGTGAATGCACAGATGACCACTCGAAGAACATCAGTTACAGGTAAGCAACCTGCTTTTATCCATTGAAGACCAAACCATCCCAAAACACTTTGCATTTTAATAAGACCACAATATTTTGCTGCTTTGAAAAATCATCCTTTTCATCCCCAGAAACAGTAATTATTACAGCTACAGTCAGAAGGAACAGTGATTACTGAAGGGATGGCAGATGATGTCAGTGTCCCTGCTTAAAAAAAAACCCCAAACACAGTCTATGTTCCCATGAGTCATGATTCCAATACACCACTGACCACCCTGATGCCTAAGTAGCCAGTCCACTTTCCCTGTTTTCTTGCACAGGCTGCAGTGCCTTATAAATTGTATTGCATATCAGAAGAGATGAAAGCATCTCCTTATTTGAAACAGTGTTTCCCTCTTCTCTTTCTGCTGCCAACATAACAGTCACATTTGCTGATAACTTTAAGCCTAGAATCCTGGTGCATTAAATTATGATGTGAATATGTTGCATGGTAGTATATTTACCATAGTCCCTCTCTCTGCTTTGTGTGAACAGGACAAAATGTCATGCATTAACAGCTTGGCATAATGTTCAAATGTAGATTGTGGTTTATTTCTTCCAAGCAAGTCAGAATTTGTATGTCTGATTTAAAGCCTGTTTAAACGCATTTGAGGTTAGCTTCATTCAAGCATAGTAAATAATAATTCCAGATTCAGACATCACACTATGCTACCCATGCATGGTTTATTGACTTTTTTGTGTGAACAAAAAAACTACGTGGAAGCAAATGGGTTCATTCATATTCTGATTTAATATTCTTGGCTTAAATTGACATCCATCTTCAGAACAGAGATCATTCAGAAATTGCAGCTCCCGAACAATGCGGCAGCCAGATTAATAATCTGGGACCCACAGGTTTGGACATATAAGACTGGTTCTGATGTTCTATTTTCACTTCCTGTCTGCTTCCAGTTCCAAATCAAGGTACTGGTTTTAACCTATAAAGCTTTACATGGCTTAGGACACAATACCTGTTGGAGTGCCTCTCCCAACCTCAATCTTCCTGAAACTACAGTCAACTTTTGGGACCTCCCTCTAACTCAAAGGGAAATGTGGAGGGCAGCAACAAGGGGGAGGGATTCTTTGTAGAGGCCCCCATGTATGAAACAACCCCCCCCCCAATACACACACACACTGTGGTCTGGCTGGCACTGAATCCATCTTTTCAGCATCAGGTTAAGACAACTATCTTCCAAGGTCTGAAAGGTTTCTTTAGCTACCCAGAGTCTTGAGAGGGTTATCCATTCCAGGTGTTTCACAGAGTAATTTTTGCTAATGTTTATTTATCCATTTAATCTGCTTTAAACTTTTAATACTTTTTCTTGATTTTATGACATTGTTGTGCTTTGCCTGTTTTTATCAGCTTTTATAAACCACCCAGCAGGGTTCATCTGTGTGGTAGTATAGAAATGAAATTAATAATAAAGATAGCAGCAGCAGGATTTTAGTAGACCATGGATCAAGTTGGGAAGTTAGGTCCTATACTTCAGCTCATAACTAGCCTATCTTTGGTGAATTGGAAGGAACCCATCTTTTCCTGTATAAATAGTAACCATTGTCATCAGAAGCAGTTGGTTAGTGTTCTTGTCAAGGGAAAACAGCAGCTGTTCATAGTGAATATGTGAAGCAGTTAAATGATGATTTAACAGGATTACTGAATTGTCATCTTCTCTAAAGTAAAATTGATTCCATATAACCCTCATGGTTGAGGGCCATGCTTGATTCATATAGGTTTTTTAATCATCAGAAATGCATCCATGTGGAAACCACTTTCAGGACAACGGAAGACCATGAGTATGGAACATGGGTATTGTTATTACCACAGTACAAGCTACCTCAACTTCTGAATTTGGTAACATATTATAGAACTTCATGACCTTTTTGATGGTGAGGATTATTTTAATGGCCTAGAATAGCAGAAACTCTCAGCTTCCTGTTGCTCTAAATTCAGCATGATGTGCTTGTAAGTAGTTCTGCAACAGAAAAACGCTATGCAACAGTGAAAGTGAAAGTACAGGTTAATCTAAGCCAGGGTGGGTCAACATGCGGCCCACGTTCCACACATGTTCCACAGTCCAGATCCCAGCAATCACACAGGCATGAATACGGCGAGGTCTTCCAAGGCCACCAGCCCATTCTGTGCTCCTCCTGAGGCACAGGAAGAAAGCAGGTTGGGCCGGCAGTCTCGTTCCAGCTCTCCCCATGCCGCTCCAGCTCAGGGATGCTTTTGCACTCTTCAGCAGGAGTGGGCAGAACATGCCGGGGAGAGTTTGTCAGCTCAAGTGCAAGGGGCTCAGCACACCAATTCCAAGAAGGAAGGAAGGAGGGAATGGGAGGGGGGTCACATGGGAGGGTTTCTGTGTGGGAGAAACAGGGAAGAAAGGGATGGGCCACTCCAGAGGAGCAGTCATGGTGCTTAGGCTGTGGTCGAAGAAGGAGCTATCTGTAATCTCTTCTTCCTACCTGTTTTCTAGCACACAGGCAGTTTTGTTAATTTGAACTCTGAGACTTTTGTATAAGATGGGATAGAAATGCCTTAAATAAATGCACAAAAGAAGCCAATTCTGAGACCTCATATTGGTTTTCTTCCTCATTCAATGGTTAATTAAGTATATTGATTGGTATATTAAATATATTTCAAACACTTCAATACATTTCAATTTATAATATGGAAATGTAATTTATTGTGCAGTCCTATATTCCATGTTGAAGTCCTCATGAGGCCTTCAGAGTACAAAAATCAGGACCAGCCTGATCTAAGCGCTATGTAATTTAGGGAAGTAGACTACTTACCTTGTTTTTTGATCCTTCCGTGGTCCCAAATGACTCCCAAATGATTTCCTGAATGGAAGATGGTAGTACTATCCTCGGTACTAAACAGAGCACTGTTGAACCTGCTCTGCAGCAATGAGTTTGCTTTAAATAAAAGCGCAAAGCTTAGATTGTTCTTGCACCTGGATCAGGTCAGAAGAATTTTACAAGCTGTATCTGTGATCAAAGCTGTTTCAAGTTCTGCACTTGAAAACGATAATAAAAAGGCACTGTAGATCTATTCACATGTAACATTAAACCATCAGTTAACATTATGAATTTCATCCTTGGCCTCCCATATTCCTTTCCTTTCCTTTCTTTTTTCTGTGTATGCACAGAGATAGGAAATTTGCCAGTTCAAACTCAATGGGAAATATGGGTTTGTGCAGGCCGAGACATTCCTTAGCTGTGCACACATGGGATAAAGAAAATGTACTGATGTGACACTCAGGCCTTCTCATTCTTATAAAGTTAAACCATGGTTTTGCATGATATTTGACCATAACCAGCATGTTCTGTGTAATTTGTTTCTACTTTGATAGAAACCACAGTATGGGGAAATCTGAGAACTCTTTATACCAACAACATGTCAAGTAGCCTTTTCCCCTTTGATGATGTTCTTGAATAATGCAATTTTAGTCCTACTCATTTGTTCAGTTAAGTAGTCTGAGTGTTTTTTTTTTTAAAATACAACTGTTCTTGTTGTTATGTCTTGGACAGGGTACCTAAGGATAAAAAACTGGCCTGAAGTGAAATTGAGGAAAGCTGGGGATTTGGCAGTGTTCCCCCTCCTCTCCCAGAGTAAGTAAATTATTGAAATTATATTTCTATTGCATAATGAGACATGATCGATCAAAACCAATGGAGCGTGAAGCTGTTTAACATTTCTTGGAGTACACATGGTGGATTGGGAGGCAGAGTGGGCTTCAGGTTTAATGAAATGGAACTTTGCTGTTTTTTCCCCCAAGAACTGAGCAAACTTTTGCCTAATGTCAGGAATATGCCATCAGAGGGCTTCTTTAAATTAGTGCCTAAATATTGTTTAATGTTATTAGCCAGCATGAATTTTCCATAGCTATATATGCTACTCTGCTCCAGATATTATGCTAAAGCAGGCATAATATGCAGTCAACTATTAAATTAAATTTACATCTCAGATACCTTACAGTAGCATCTAGCTCTTAAACAGGGCTAGGAAATTATATTCTCTTGGGAGCAGTCTCTTGGGGGCTGGATGATGCTGGAGGCCCAACTAAAGACAAAAGTTGGACTGCCTCAGTAGCCATTTTCCCTCTGTCTAGAGAGTGGTTAGGAAAAGCATTGATTGGCAGAGATGTTTACTGATTGCAGAAGGCTTCCAAAACTAGTCCATAGGCTGCAGATTGCCTACCTCTGATTTGAAGCAGTCGGCTGTGTTTCATAGAGAAGACGGGACATTTTCAAGAGCCCCATTCAGGTGTTTCCACTCTGGGCAAACACTGGTGTCCCAGTACTGTGGACCAGAGGTACAGGACGCTTTCGTCTTCAGAAGGTCTTCCTCCATCTGTGAACAAAGGGATTTGGGGCTCTCTTGCTGTGTGTTTGCTTTACCTAGACAGGGAATGCCTCAGTAGGACTCACATGACTGACCTATCCTGGAAATGTATCACATCAAGAAAATGTTCAGTAGGACTTGCTCCCAGGCAGATCTTTCAGTGTTCATTTTATTTACTAAAGAAATTTTTGCTCTTTAAATGCAATAAAGACAAATCACAGTAGCACACTAAACTAAAACCACAGCAATTTTAATTTTAAATTATTTCTGAATGAATGGTTACTGTCTGGTTCCTAATTTTGTGCCATGTCATAACAGAGACACACATAATAATAATAATAATAAAAAAAAAACAGAAGCACCAATGACCCCTTAATTTTCAGTGCTGCTGGCTAAAAATTTGTTGTACGGATGAAAACTGTTCTCTATAAATTAACTAGCAAAGCATTGGCAGGTTGCTATACTGATTTAAAAAAAGCTTGTTACTTATTAGAATTGCTTTATACTTTGGTGATTCTTGGCTAGGGAATCCAGTCCAAGTTTGCTCTGTGTGTTTAAATGTATAGACACTGCTGCTTTATAAGACTGTAAATGCAATAATTGATGATGGCCACTGCTGGAACATTGGAAAGTAGATGTGTTTCAAACAACAATCGGTTGTTTTACAAGCTTGTTTAGAGGTCGAACATTTTAAGTAATTCCTAAGGACTAGAGGGTTTCTTTTTCTACTGTTGCTATGACTGTGATAAATTGGATAGTTCTATATTCTCTAGATGTTTCTTCTCTCTATTCAAAAGCTGTTGACATATAATGCTAATTTTCCTTCTTGAACACAGAACATCTTTGTAGTTGAGAGCAGGTGCAGTTTTCTCTCTAACTAAGTAAATTAAAAGGCGACCGTGGTTAATGAGTTGCTTAACTGGTATCCTTTGACTAAATGTTGGTATAAAGGGACGAGGAACATGTGATATAAACATTGTGAATCCTTTTCAGGTGACTGGAAAAGAGGCTTATGATTTAAGGTGCCAGGCTAACAGACGTATATGTGTATGTTTGCTCTTTGATATTTAGAAAATTCTCTGCTGATCTTTTTGAGAAAATCCAGCTCCTGCAGTGACTGACAAAGCAAAAGCAATTAGTGGCATACTCTCAAAGGGGGCATCTGAAACTCCACATTAAGTAAAATAGTTAAAATCTCCAAAATGGAAATCATTACCAGAGAGAGAGAGAGGGAGAGGGAGAGGGAGAGGGAGAGGGAGAGGGAGAGAGAGAGAGAGATTTTGTCGTAGTTGATAGCTCCAGCTTTCAAGCACATAATTAATAATGTTTAAGTATTACAGGCAGGAAAACTGAAAACCCAGAACATCAAAAGAGGGCAAGTGTGAACGTGCAGGTAGAAAGGGACATGAAGCTGCAGAAGTGAAATAGGGTACTGTTGAGGCTCCCTAAGTAGAGCTGTATGCGTCAGTAAAACAAGTGTCCTACTGTGCTAGAATACAAATGGACTGTCTGTGGCAGGATTCAGCAAAGATGCTTGGCAAAGAGGGATAGGAGAGCTCCTGGCGTAATGTAATTGAATTGACCATGTCTCTAAAGATCCAGCAAATTGTTTGTTGCAGCATTCATCATTGTAAGGCAGGCCAGAGAGCTTGCCCAACATACGATATTTCTAATAAAAAGCAGAAAAAGCCCACTAACATGCAAAGTGCTCTATCCTCTCTGTAGGAACTTCAGCATTTAATTGATCTCATTGAGCATTTATATGCCAAGACTAATAGTTTCTTAGGCTGATTGCTGAGAAAGGAAGAAGATGATTGCTCAAGAAAATTTCAAGTGTCAACCCATGTTAGGAACCCCCAAGGCTTGCGCAAGCGCTCATAATGTAACCGGTGTATTTTGCCACCCACAGTCCTGCTTGAGTATTCTGCTTCCTGGAGTAAATGGGTGTGTTCATGTGACAAAAACTGTCATGACTCTAAAGTCTCTGAGGTTAATTATGTAACTCATGAAGTAAATCAAAACGGTGCTAAATTTACCATGGGCTTGCTTTAGTGAAATTAACATCTGAGCAGTTGCTGGTTTTGCTCTGTGCTTGTTGTTGCTGGTGTAAAATAAAGTGTTCAAGGGGACTGTTGGTTTCCCTAACTTTCAAAGTACGATAAATTAAAGGGTCCAATAGCTTTCCTCTGCAAGACACATGGAAGAAATTTATGAAATCTCTTTCTGCAAGGGGTCATATTTGAATTTGCTGTGCTTTGACAAGTGACACAACAGACAGCACTGTATCTGAAATGGTATATAAAATGTTTGGCCTCGATGCAAGAGGAACAGCAAATGTAAATGGTATTCTGATGGGGCATGGGTGGAGAGGAAACTATCCCATGCAGTGATGGCTCAGCAAACGAGAAGCAGTTACCTTTCTCGATTGCCACATATGGAGAAGACAGGCATTTTGATTTCTTGCACCACTGAGCCCCTGATAAGGCTGGAAATTGGAATCTAAATAATTAGATTGGCTAAACAGAACCTCATAGAGGAGCCAAGTTAATTAAGGGGAGGGGACATGTCCTTGTATGCAAAAGCATGGCATTCTCTTCTCTCTCCCTGCCTCTGCCTCCCTCCCTCCCTGCTCACCCCATACTGTTGATGGTGATGTTTGCACTGGGTCAGTCGGGAAGCCGTGCTTGATAGGCAGCCTTTTGCTGGCTTTTGAGCAATATGGTGAAAAGCAGTTGGATAGCAGCTACATTTCAAGCTAATCTGTTTAAACAGCGTTGAGGTAGTTCTGGAACTTATTCGAATATATTTGCCAAAAGGAAAGTAGGAAGCAACATTCTGAAAGTTAAGCATGCATCCAAAATTATAACATGTCTTTGCTGCAGAAATGAATAATCTCAATTCCAAATGACTTTACAGTTAATACTCTGTGTGCATGCAGACACACGGACTTTTCCATCATTCTTTCTGACACAGATGCATAGTCATTCCCTCAGACATGCTTGCTCATTCGCTCACATTCCCTCCATGCTGCAATGCCTACACATATTGCTGCACCAGTGCCAGGAGATTTAGTTAAAGAGATTCTAGTTATCTAAACGGGAATGCCTAAAATAAGCTTCCTAGGAAGCCCAAGAGAAGCCTGGCCTGCTGTTGTAACCACATTGTGTACAGCCAGCCTTCTGCCTGTCATGCTGCAGAGCAGCTGAACTCGGATTGACAGCCATAGAATTGTGTCTATGAAAGCATTGTCTGGTAATTGCTTCAGCAGCCATGTTCCGAGGACTGATCCACAGAGCATACTGCCCTGAATGTCATCAAACTGAGAAAGAAACAGCAGCTGCAGGTCAGAAGTGGCGGCACAAAATTTGGGCCGTTGGCACATTAGTTTGGTTTCTTTCTGGACCATTCCCATCTGCAGACTTCCCAGTTCAGAGATCAGGATTGTGTTGCACCCCTTGTTTGTGGACAACAGAAACCTGTCCTGTTCAGGTACAACAGAGAACTATATTTTGCTTTAAAATACAAGTAAAAATGCCCAAGGGAGGAGGAGGAAGAAGAGGAGGGAGGTGATCATCATGATGTACCCCACATTTCTTCTTCTTGTAAGGAACCCAAGGCACCTAACAAACTTTTCTTCCTATTTTATCCTTGCAAGAGCAGCCCTAGAGGTAGGTTAGGATGAGAGTAAGAGGCTGGCCCTAAGTCACACAGTAAGCTTCATGGTCACATGGGCTTTAGAATCCAGCGCTCCTGAGTTCTTTGTCCAACACTTTAAGCACCTCACCACGCTCTAAATTTGGTCTTGCTGGGTGTCAGTCAAGCCCTCTTGGTTTCCCAGTTGGCCATATCCTCTTTTCCTTGACTGCCAGTGGTTTGGCAGTTTTTCAGCTTTTGCACATCTTATTAAAGCTAAAATATTTACAGCACATGTTGTTTTATCTGTGTGCCTTTTGCCTGAGATGTGGCCCCTGAGGGCTTTTCTGAAATAGAATTTGTGTCTTGAGGGCTACAAGAAGTTCCCATCCCTGATATAAACCCAAGCCATGGCTTAGTGTTGTAACTTGAACCATGGATGGCCTATACTGCAGCCCCTTCCTTTTATCAAAGAACAGCATATTAGTATTTATGAAAAATGCATTAATCATAGTTGGAGTTCATGATAATGAATACAGGACAGTTTTCACTGTGTCGAAAATGTGATTTGTGTGAGCAAATGCAATTATGGGAGGATGAGAAGTTGAAAAAATGGTTTGTGCAGAGAAATGAC